GTTGGTAAAGTCTATTGTCTGTGTGGCAGCAGTGAGGGTAGATGTCTGTGGGGTGTCTGTATCTTGTTGGTAAAGTCTATTGTCTGTGTGGCAGCAGTGAGGGTAGAGGTCTGTGGGGTGTCTGTATCTTGTTGGTAAAGCCTATTGTCTGTGTGGCAGCAGTGAGGGTAGAAGTCTGTGGGGTGTCTGTATCTTGTTGGTAAAGTCTATTGTCTGTGTGGCAGCAGTGAGGGTAGAAGTCTGTGGGGTGTCTGTATCTTGTTGGTAAAGTCTATTGTCTGTGTGGCAGCAGTGAGGGTAGAGGTCTGTGGGGTGTCTGTATCTTGTTGGTAAAGTCTATTGTCTGTGTGGCAGCAGTGAGGGAAGACGTCTGTGGGGGTGTCTGTATCTTGTTGGTAAAGTCTATTGTCTGTGTGGCAGCAGTGAGGGTAGAGGTCTGTGGGGTGTCTGTATCTTGTTGGTAAAGTCTATTGTCTGTTTGGCAGCAGTGAGGGTAGAGGTCTGTGGGTGTCTGTATCTTGTTGGTAAAGTCTATTGTCTGTGTGGCAGCAGTGAGGGTAGAGGTCTGTGGGGTGTCTGTATCTTGTTGGTAAAGTCTATTGTCTGTGTGGCAGCAGTGAGTGAGGGTAGAGGTCTGTGGGGTGTCTGTATCTTGTTGGTAAAGTCTATTGTCTGTGTGGCAGCAGTGAGGGTAGAGGTCTGTGGGGTGTCTGTATCTTGTTGGTAAAGTCTATTGTCTGTGTGGCAGCAGTGAGGGTAGAGGTCTGTGGGGTGTCTGTATCTTGTTGGTAAAGTCTATTGTCTGTGTGGCAGCAGTGAGGGTAGAGGTCTGTGGGGTGTCTGTATCTTGTTGGTAAAGTCTATTGTCTGTGTGGCAGCAGTGAGGGAAGAAGTCTGTGGGGGGTCTGTATCTTGTTGGTAAAGTCTATTGTCTGTGTGGCAGCAGTGAGGGTAGAGGTCTGTGGGTGTCTGTATCTTGTTGGTAAAGTCTATTGTCTGTGTGGCAGCAGTGAGGGTAGAGGTCTGTGGGGTGTCTGTATCTTGTTGGTAAAGTCTATTGTCTGTGTGGCAGCAGTGAGGGTAGAGGTCTGTGGGGTGTCTGTATCTTGTTGGTAAAGTCTATTGTCTGTGTGGCAGCAGTGAGGGTAGAGGTCTGTGGGGTGTCTGTATCTTGTTGGTAAAGTCTATTGTCTGTGTGGCAGCAGTGAGGGTAGAGGTCTGTGGGGTGTCTGTATCTTGTTGGTAAAGTCTATTGTCTGTGTGGCAGCAGTGAGGGTAGAGGTCTGTGTGGGTGTCTCTGTATCTTGTTGGTAAAGTCTATTGTCTGTGTGGCAGCAGTGAGGGTAGAGAGGTCTGTGGGGTGTCTGTATCTTGTTGGTAAAGTCTATTGTCTGTGTGGCAGCAGTGAGGGTAGAGGTCTGTGGGGTGTCTGTATCTTGTTGGTAAAGTCTATTGTCTGTGTGGCAGCAGTGAGGGTAGAGGTCTGTGGGGTGTCTGTATCTTGTTGGTAAAGTCTATTGTCTGTGTGGCAGCAGTGAGGGTAGAGGTCTGTGGGGTGTCTGTATCTTGTTGGTAAAGTCTATTGTCTGTGTGGCAGCAGTGAGGGTAGAGGTCTGTGGGGTGTCTGTATCTTGTTGGTAAAGTCTATTGTCTGTGTGGCAGCAGTGAGGGTAGAGGTCTGTGGGGTGTCTGTATCTTGTTGGTAAAGTCTATTGTCTGTGTGGCAGCAGTGAGGGTAGAGGTCTGTGGGGTGTCTGTATCTTGTTGGTAAAGTCTATTGTCTGTGTGGCAGCAGTGAGGGTAGAGGTCTGTGGGGTGTCTGTATCTTGTTGGTAAAGTCTATTGTCTGTGTGGCAGCAGTGAGGGTAGAGGTCTGTGGGGTGTCTGTATCTTGTTGGTAAAGTCTATTGTCTGTGTGGCAGCAGTGAGGGTAGAGGTCTGTGGGGTGTCTGTATCTTGTTGGTAAAGTCTATTGTCTGTGTGGCAGCAGTGAGGGTAGAGGTCTGTGGGGTGTCTGTATCTTGTTGGTAAAGTCTATTGTCTGTGTGGCAGTGTGAGGGTAGAGGTCTGTGGGGTGTCTGTATCTTGTTGGTAAAGTCTATTGTCTGTGTGGCAGCAGTGAGGGTAGAGGTCTGTGGGGTGTCTGTATCTTGTTGGTAAAGTCTATTGTCTGTGTGGCAGCAGTGAGGGTAGAGGTCTGTGGGGTGTCTGTATCTTGTTGGTAAAGTCTATTGTCTGTGTGGCAGCAGTGAGGGTAGAGGTCTGTGGGGTGTCTGTATCTTGTTGGTAAAGTCTATTGTCTGTGTGGCAGCAGTGAGGGTAGAGGTCTGTGGGGTGTCTGTATCTTGTTGGTAAAGTCTATTGTCTGTGTGGCAGCAGTGAGGGTAGAGGTCTGTGGGTGTCTGTATCTTGTTGGTAAAGTCTATTGTCTGTGTGGCAGCAGTGAGGGTAGAGGTCTGTGGGGTGTCTGTATCTTGTTGGTAAAGTCCATTGTCTGTGTGGCAGCAGTGAGGGTAGAGGTCTGTGGGTGTCTGTATCTTGTTGGTAAAGTCTATTGTCTGTGTGGCAGCAGTGAGGGTAGAGGTCTGTGGGGTGTCTGTATCTTGTTGGTAAAGTCTATTGTCTGTGTGGCAGCAGTGAGGGTAGAGGTCTGTGGGGTGTCTGTATCTTGTTGGTAAAGTCTATTGTCTGTGTGGCAGCAGTGAGGGTAGAGGTCTGTGGGGTGTCTGTATCTTGTTGGTAAAGTCTATTGTCTGTGTGGCAGCAGTGAGGGTAGAGGTCTGTGGGGTGTCTGTATCTTGTTGGTAAAGTCTATTGTCTGTGTGGCAGCAGTGAGGGTAGAGGTCTGTGGGGTGTCTGTATCTTGTTGGTAAAGTCTATTGTCTGTGTGGCAGCAGTGAGGGTAGAGGTCTGTGGGGTGTGTGGTTGGTGTCTGTATCTTGTTGGTAAAGTCTATTGTCTGTGTGGCAGCAGTGAGGGTAGAGGTCTCTAAGTGGGGTACTGCCGTATCTTGTTGGGTACGGTACATCGCTGTGTGTCACATCTTATTCTGTTTCAATAAGGGTACATCGCCGTGTGTGTTACATCTAAGCCTGTTTCAATAAGGGCACATCGCCGTGTGTGTTACATCTAAGCCTGTTTCAATAAGGGTAAATCGCCGTGTGTGTTACATCTAAGCCTGTTTCAATAAGGGTGGATTCCTGTGTGTTACATCTAATACTTTTTCTATGAGGGTACATCTCCGTGTGTCACATCTGAGCCTGTTTTGTTTCAATAAGGGTACATCGCCGTTTGTCACATCTAAGCCTGTATTAATAAGGGTGCATGGCTGTGTTTCACATCTAATACGTTTTCAATAAGGGTGCATCGCTGTGTGTCACATCTAAGCCTGTTTCAATAAGGGTACATCGCCGGGTGTGTTACATCTAATACGTTTTCAATAAGGGTGCATCGCTGTGTGTCACATCTAAGCCTGTTTCAGTAAGGGTACATCGCCGCGTGTGTTACATCTAAGCCTGTTTGAATAAGGGTACATCGCCGTGTGTGTTGCATCATAGACTGTTTCAATAAGGGTACATCACCGTGTGTGTTACATCTAAGCCTGTTTCAATAAGGGTACATCGCCGTGTGTGTTACATCTAAGCCTGTTTCAATAAGGGTACAGCGCCGTGTGTGTTACATCTAATCCTGTTTCAATAAGGGTACATCGCTGTGTGTCACATCTAATCCTGTTTCAATAAGGGTGCATCGCCGTGTGTGTTCTGATCTAAGCCTGTTTCTGCCATAAGGGTGGAGATGCGTGTGTGTTGCATCTGAGCCTGTTCTAATTCCATAAGGGTGGAGACACAAAGATGCGTGTGTGTTGCATCTGAGCCTGTTTTGTTTCCATAAGGGTGGAGGCACGAAGATGCGTGTGTGTCACATCTGAGCCTGTTTTGTTTCCATAAGGGTGGAGACACGAAGATGCGTGTGTGTCACATCTGAGCCTGTTTTGTTTCCATAAGGGTGGAGACACGAAGATGCGTGTGTGTTGCATCTGAGCCTGTTTTGTTTCCATAAGGGTGGAGACACGAAGATGCATGTGTGTCACATCTGAGCCTGTTTTGTTTCCATAAGGGTGGAGACACGAAGATGCGTGTGTGTCACATCTGAGCCTGTTTTGTTTCCATAAGGGTGGAGACACGAAGATGCATGTGTGTCACATCTGAGCCTGTTTTGTTTCCATAAGGGTGGAGACACGAAGATGCATGTGTGTTGCACCTAAGCCTGTTTTGTTTCCATAAGGGTGGAGACACGAAGATGCGTGTGTGTCACATCTGAGCCTGTTCTGTTTCCATAAGGGTGGAGACACGAAGATGCGTGTGTGTTGCAGGACATCTCTGTGACAACAGTTCCATACACGGAACACCTGCCATGGCTCTCCTGTACGTGCTTGTACATCAGGACTTCTGTGACAACAGCTCCATACACGGAACACCTGACATGGCTCTCCTGTACGTGTATGTACATCAGGACTTCTGTGACAACAGCTCCATACACGGAACACCTGACATGGCTCTCCTGTACGTGCTTGTACATCAGGACTAACTTCAGCCTAACTGAATTCAGTTTACTAGAATTATGCAAGGGAGGAGCAAACGGGAGTATGCATATTTCGCAGCGAGGATACGTTTACCCCATTTATGGCTTCGATAAAATACATTGATAGCAGAAATGTTGAAATCATAGTTAGATATTTGTATTCATGACCTTGGCTACACTGTTAACAATGTAAGTCCTACGTGGATGCATACAGTTTGCATATACCTGATAGGTACACAGTATATTTAATTTCGACAACGGAAAGATATGAATTGTACAACAGTGACAAAAACAGTTAGATATCTGAAAGTAAACAAACAATGACGAGATTGATTAACATTCCGGAAGAAAGAACACATACTGTGACGTGGCGTGAATCAGGTATTTTTTCATCTATGATGAAGAAAAATATCACTTACCTGGCCAAAGGATCCTGTAAAGGAATAACAGATGAGGTAAGTAAACTGAACTATTAAAGTAAGGTAACGTGTATATAGGGACACGGGTTGTAAGCATGACACGGTTATCGCCCTTGACTGTAGTAAAAACATATGACGGTATGATCAATGCCAGATCGTCTAGATTATATTTCTAGGTTTGTCATTACCATGACGATGTTTGTAGAGCCCACAAACCTGGTAACCATCTATGACCTGCAACACTTCGGGTTTTGCTCCCCCATTCAGCAGACACGTCGTCATATGACCGAGCTACCGCTAAAAGCGGCGTTAAATCAAACTCACTCACTCATCTGTTCAGTAATAGTGTATAAATAACAAGTATTCGTGTGGATTACCTTTCGGTCAGCCAGTCACACCATCTGTTGCAAGTTCTTCTACATCGTCCACTGCAAAGAAATTTGTCTTTTAGAAAATAGGGCATCTGTTTCGTAAACACCCTCCCTGCTTGTTGCCCCATCAAATTCACATTTGTGTCTTGTGTCATCAATCAACAGCTGAATAGCGCTGCCATTGCAGTGTTATGTAAGTAAAGTGAAAACTGGCTGAGACAGAAGATGTTGTGTCAGGTTGGTACCCGCCAAACAGTAACTCACCTCCTCCAGCACCAAACAGTCGTGAACAAGAAGATGATGGCAGCTAACATCGACACCACGTTTACACTCTGTGGAATGTGCCCTTCACCTGAAACAAACAATACAGGACTAATTAGTCTGCCTGATGTGCCCTTCACCTGAAACAAACAATACAGGACTAATTAGTCTGCCTGATGTGCCCTTCAACTGGAACAAACACTACATGACTAATTAGTCTGTGTTATGTGCCCTTCACCTGGAACAAACACTATTGGACTAATTAGTCTGTCTGATGTGCCCTTCACCTGGAACAAACACTGAAGGACTAATTAGTCTGTGCAATGTGCCCTTCAACTGGAACAAACACTACATGACTAATTAGTCTGTGTTATGTGCCCTTCAACTGAAACAAACACTATTGGACTAATTACTCTGTCTGATGTGCCCTTCACCTGGAACAAACACGAAGGACTAATTAGTCTGTCTGATGTGCCCTTCACCTGGAACAAACACTAAAGGACTAATTACACTGTCTTATGTGCCCTTCACCTGGAACAAACACTATTGGACTAATTAGTCTGTCTGATGTGCCCTTCACCTGGAACAAACACTGAAGGACTAAATAGTCTGTTTGATGTGCCCTTCACCTGGAACAAGTACTATAAGACTAATTAGTCTTGTCTGATGAACCCTTCACCTGGAACAAACGCTATTGGACTAATTAGTCTGTCTGATGTGCCCTTCACCTGGAACAAACACGAAGGACTAATTAGTCTGTCTGATGTGCCCTTCACCTGGAAGAAACACTATAGGACTAATTAGTCTGTGTAATGTGCCCTTCACCTGGAACAAACACTATAGGACTAATTAGTCTGTGTAATGTGCCCTTCTACTGAAACAAGCACTATAGGACTAATTAGTCTCTCTGATGTGCCCTTCACCTGGAACAAACACTGAAGAACTAATTAGTCTGTCTGATGTGCCCTTCACCTGGAACAAACACTACAGTCCTAATTAGTATGGCTGATGTGCCCTTCACCTGGAACAAACACTAAAGGAGTAATTAGTCTGTCTGATGTGCCCTTCACCTGGAACAAACACTAAAGGACTAATTAGTCTGTCTGATGTGCCCTTCAACTGGAACAAACACTAAAGGACTAATAAGTCTGTCTGATGTTCCCCTAACTATGAAAAAATCCCAGTTTGACTGCTTTTGTTGCATGGTTATGGTGATCTGTTAACGTACACCTGACTTACACACGGACAACGATATCTGAAGTGTTCAAAATTGGAATATGACATTCCCTTTGCATTGTATACATTTATATTATTTACTTGTCTCTGATTACTATTTTGACTTTGTCTTACTTTGTTATCTTGCAATATTGTCTAACCTATTCCTATTCCTTATTACTTTCCTTAATTCTGAATTAAATAATGGTTTACCATCTGGTCGAATTATTTTAATTATCATTTTGTTATGATAGTTCTACTGCAAACGTTCCACAGATTCATCAATATCTTTACAATCGTTGAAAAAAAACATCCGTTGAATGAATGCGGTTGTTTCATATTCATATTCAGCCCTTTCGTAACACTATTTCTGGAATTGCACCAAACATTGTCATATCCAGGTTGTATTTAGTAAGCATTTTCAAGTATCCATGGTAATGATAAAACAAGGAATCCTGCCCAGACCTGTGAGACTGAATTCTAACATTCAGATACTGAGCTACTTTCCTCACGTCAAGTCAACTCTACATCTAAAACAACAATTATCAACCTCCTAACTAATAGTGACACCCTCTAGAGTCTTACATACAGTAAAATATAACAAGATTTGTTGTTGATCGTGAGTAACTACATGATCTTCCCATTTGACCATCATCAGTTAAAGATGTGTTATGAATCATTCACAGTGATAAATCCTATCTGTGTTGAACCGTGACTGAATGATATGTCAGCACTTTATAGAAACAGGTGTTGTTGGACTGATCTCATTACGTGATGTACAATTACATATTTCTGCCAAATACTGAAACTAGGAGCTGCTACAGAATGTCCTCTTCTCAATCACCGTACCAGATATGTTCTGGCTCCAGTCTCACACCCACGTTACCAGAATCTGGCTCCACACCTGTCTGTGTCCCTGTTATGCTACAATAGTTACAACAGAGGTTTGTCAGACCTGCGATACAGTACGAGTCGGTTATGACAGCTTGTTATGCACTTTTGTAATACCAAAAAATGAATAAAATGTTTTTCTAAGAACCAATTAAGTAGATAAGTAGCCTTCTATTTCTTTCCAACGTGTATCTATACTGACTGTCCTATAGTTAATTTTATCTTATATATAAAACTTGAAAGATCAAATAAGTGCCATGCGAATACTTAAAAATGTGTTTCTACATCTGTATCTGTGTACCTGTTGCCATGTTACAGAAGTACCCAGTGTATCCGTCTGTACACCCGAGTGTACATCCCCCGTTGGGTTGATTGCACGTGGTGTTGATGCAGTTCTGGCTACAGGGTTGATCACAGTGGCCACTATGACGACCACGAACACATCCTTGTAAACACTTCCCAGTATCTTTGTCACACGGTCGGTGGTTCGTCTCTAGCAATAGACCACAGTGTTCAGAGCAGTGGAGGTCACAGTTTGGTCCATACTTGCCAGAGTCACATCTTGTGCCACTCTGTACTGTGGAAACTGAAACAAAACAGGAAACTAAATGGCACACGGCGGTCGTTAGTTGTGTCCTAAACTACATTCTGTTAAAAGCATGACATCACAAAAACGCAAGAGAGCTAGTTTCTATACTTAAACTGGGCGTATTACTGACAATTCTAGTATAGAAACATATCCAGTGTTACTGAATATTCCAGTATAGACAGACCCCCAGTGTTACCAAATATTCCAGTATAGACAGATCCCTAGTGTTACTGAATATTCCAGTACAGAAACACCTCCAGTGTTACTGACCCCTGTATATAAACACACACACAGTTACTGAATATTCCTGTATATAAACACACACAGTGTTACTGAATATTCCAGTATAAAAACACACACAGTGTTACTGAATATTCCAGTATAGAAACACCTACAGTGTTACTGAATTTTCCAATATACACAAACCTCCAGTGTTGCTGAATTTTCCAGTATAGACAGACCCCCAGTGTTACTGAACATCACAGTATAGACAGACCTCCAGTGTAACTGAATATTCCAGTATAGACAGACCTCCAGTGTTTCTGAATATTCCAGTATAGACAGACCTCCAGTGTTATTGAACATCACAGTATAGACAGACATCCAGTGTAACTGAATATTCCAGTATAGACAGACCTCCAGTGTTTCTGAATATTCCAGTATAGACAGATCTCCAGTGTTACCGAATATTCAAGTATAGACAGACCCCCATTGTTACCGAATATTCCAGTATAGACAGATGTCCAATGTTACCGAATATTCCAGTATAGACAGACCCCCATTGTTACCGAATATTCCAGTAGAGACAGATCTCCAGTGTTACCGAATATTCCAGTATAGACAGACCTCAAGTGTTTCCGAATATTCCAGTATAGACAGACCCCTAGTGTTACCGAATATTCAAGTATAGACAGACCTCAAGTGTTACCGAATATTCCAGTATAGACAGACCCCTAGTGTTACCGAATATTCAAGTATAGACAGATCTCCAGTGTTACCGAATATTCCAGTATAGACAGATCCCCATTGTTACCGAATATTCCAGTATAGACAGACCCCTAGTGTTACCGAATATTCCACTATATACAGACCTCCAGTGTTTCTGAATATTCCAGTATAGACAGATCTCCAGTGTTACCGAATATTCCAGTATAGACAGACCCCCATTGTTACCGAATATTCAAGTATAGACAGACCTCCTGTGTTAACGAATATTCCACTATAGAAAAAACCGCATTGTTACCGAAAATTCCAGTATAGACAGACCCCCATTGTTACCGAATATTCCAGTATAGACAGACCCCAATTGTTACCAAATATTCCAGTATAGACAGATACCCAGTGTTACCAAATATTCCAGTATAGACAGACCCCTAGTGTTACCGAATATTCCAGTATAGACAGAATATGTCAACACGGACTAACATTAACTGGCGCACGCGTGTTTTGGCCATCTCATATTGCATTGGACATTTATTCAAGACCAACAGATGGTTCGAAGTGAAACGCTATTTCTAAATGAATTTCTAGGTAGACTCAAAGTTTCGTATCAACAAGACTGGCATTTTGCACTAATAAAAGGCACAAAAACATTTGGATACTCGTTGTTTAAACCTATGTTCGGTGTTGAACCTTATATCTTCACAGTTAGCTATTTTAAACATAGACGTGCTCTTGCTCAGTTTAGATCGCGGTCCCATAAACTACGAATAGAAACAGGTAGGTATACTGGAGAGGCTAGAAATGACAGATTATGTTATACCTGTAAACTGCCGTATATAGAAGATGAATATCACTTCTTGCTTATTTATAATAAATATCAAGCATTGCGGCTTCTGTACATCCCTTTACAATTTTATGAATATCCAACAATCCAAAAATTTAATACGCTTCTGCAATCATCAAATGCAAGCATCTTAAAACATTTATCAGCATATATGTAAGTAGTATGCTTAATGGGGGGACGACTGCAGGGTACCCTAATGGTTTATTTTGGGTTAATTCCGCTCCCAGCGTACGGGATCACCCTCAATGAAACGTCGCTGTCGCCCATGGATACCAAACGACGGATCGCCATCGATGCTGTCACGACTTACGCGTATGGACACTGTTGTAGCCAATAGAAGGATGAGATAGTGAACATCGAAAGATGTCTCCCACTCGGGGATCACCATTTTTACTGGACGCTGGGAGCGGTATTAACCCAAAATAAACCATTAGGGTACCTTGTATTCGTCCCCCCATTATGCATACTACTATATATCAAGCTATGTTACTGAGACAGTCTTCACTGTAACATACTTTCTCACTCTGTAATCTTCAATGTGTAACTTGGGCCTATAGCCTGCATTACTTTTCTGAAATACACCACCACCACACAGTAAGCTTAGCCGCTGCTGCAGCCGTGTGAGACTAATCATCACCATCTCTATGGCAATAACCACAACTTTAATTTAATATCACCCTTGTATTTTGTGCTTCCATTGAATGTGTACTGTAATTCTTTGTAATCAGTTTGTAGTAATGCGTACAGATTTGTAAATTTAGCTTCCTTTAGAATACAGTTTTGAATTTTTTAACTTTTCCGTGTCGTTTGTTGGTTTCACTGACAGATTCCCGGTTAACATATTCCTTCATGTTGGAAATGGACCCATATCAGTAAAGAGTTTGTTACCATTTCATGCTACCTTGGGTAAATAATCATCAAATCCTGTAAGTTTGCTGTCCAAATGAAGTTTCAACTGAGAAATTGTAACACAATGGAATCTGTTCAACTGTGGTTTCCAACTGTAAACATATACAGGTAGACTACATAGTCTGTGTGTAGAGCAGATTCTGTATACTGTCGTTATGTAGAAATTTGTTCGTATCAGAAATGTATCTATGCTGATATATTCATTCATTCAGTCTGAGATTTAGATATTGCAAGATGAAAACGATGTCATACACCTGTATATGTGTACCTGTTGCCATGTTACAGAAGTACCCAGTGTATCCGTCTGCACACCCGAGTGTACATTCCCCGTTGGGTTGATTGCACGTGGTGTTGATACAGTTCTGGCTACAGAGTTGATCACAGTGGTCACCATGACGACCACGAACACATCCTTCTAAACACTTCCCAGTATCTTTGTCACACGGTGGAAGGTTTCTGCCAGGGTAAAGTCTACAGTGAGGCGAACATAGTTTGTCACAGTTCGGTCCATACCTGCCCCACTCGCACACTGGAACACCATCAACTTTGGAAACTGAAACAAAAAACCAACTGACGTTCAGGAGGACAATGCTACCATAGGTTATGGTGGAGGTGGTGGTGGGACAGCTACAGGGGGACCTGTTGTACAAGACGGAGATGTATAATATACTATCCAGTCAACGCTACATGTAAAACTCCAGTTACCACTTTCAACATTACGAGTCGGTTATGAAGCTTGTTATGCATTTTTAAATTACAAAATATGAATTAAATATTTTTCAAATACCCAATAATGTATATAAGAAGCATTCCTTCCTATCCAAAATGTATCTATACTGACGTATTAAATTAGTCTGAGATATAAAAATTGAAGGATGGAAAGAGGTCATAGAAATACCTATCAGACAGAGTTTCTTCATCTACCTGCGATACATTATGAGACGCTTATGAAAGCTTGTTATGGCGTGCTAAAAAGGAATTTAATTGTTTTAAGTAACGGTAATGTAGCTAGCCATTTTCATATCCGAATGTATCTGCACTGACATGTTACTTCAGTCTGAGATAGGCAAGATGTGATTGAAATACTTTTCAGAATGTGTTTCTACATCTGTATATGTGTACCTGTTGCTATGTTACAGAAATACCCAGTGTATCCGTCTGTACACCCGAGGGTACATTCCCCGTTGGGTTGATTGCACGTGGTGTTGATGCAGTTCTGGCTACAATGTTGATCACAGTGGTCACCATGCCGACCACGAACGCATCCTTCTAAACACTTCCCAGCATCTTTGTCACACGGTGGAAGGTTTCTGCCAGGGTAAAGTCTACAGAGATGTGAACATAGTTGGTCGCAGTTTTGTCCATATCTGCCCCACTCGCACACTGGGACACCATTAACTGTCGAAACTGAAACAAAAGATCAACAAGAAACATTATTATTGCAGCTAGCAAAGCTAAACGTTTTCATAATATCTGTCAGTAGTGAGTAGATGGTATTTGAAGCAGGTTTGAATAACCAAATATCAGCTATGGTATTATTCTACCTAGTCGCTGCCCAAGTGAATGGTATTTGCACCCACATCAATATACAGGGAGACTAAAACAATGTTTACAGACATGTTATTGTCTTTATTTATATTGTGTCCAATACAAAGTTAAACATAGAAATGGTGTAGTTGTACCCTGTGCACTTATATATGAACAAACATTGTGTCCAATACAAGGGTAAACATAGAAATGGTGTAGTTGTACCCTGTGCACTTATATATGAACAAACATTGTGTCCAATACAAGGGTAAACATAGAAATGGTGTAGTTGTACCCTGTGCACTTATATATGAACAAACATTGTGTCCAATACAAGGGTAACCATAGAAATGATGTAGTTGTACCCTGTGCACTTATATATGAACAAACATTGTGTCCAATACAAGGGTGAACATAGAAATGATGTAGTTGTACCTTGTGCACTTATATATGAACAAACATTGTGTCCAATACAAGGGTAAACATAGAAATGGTGTAGTTGTACCTTGTACACTTATATATGAACAAACATTGTGTCCAATACAAGGGTAAACAAAGAAAAAATGTAGTTTACCTTGTACACTTATACATGAACAAACATTCTGTCCAATACAAGGGTGAACATAGAAATGATGTAGTTGTACTCTGTGCACTTACGAAATATGAGCAGCAGTGATCCAATCATTACTTCAGGCATACTGGCCACAGCTCCTGCAAAACATTTCAAATTGTCATCTAATTACTACTGCAACGGGATCTGGTCTAGCTCGGAGACTCGGATTTCTAGTCATCGTATTTCCAGTTTCACATGGTGTTCCCATGTTCAGTACAAACTACCACCATATAGCTTGAACATCGCCCAGTGAAGCAACCAACAAACAAACGACTCTGAATACAACAGAGAAAGACCAAAGCCTTTCACGTCGTTTCAGTTACTTGTCAGTTATACCTGTAAGTGGGACAAACGGGTTTTAGCCTGTAGTACCCGAATCGAATCGAGCATGAGCCTTCGGTCTTACTAGGGATTACTTTATCAAGCTATCACCCACATCACTCTTACTAACGGCACCCATACCTACTGCCTCCCACCCCACCTGGCTTCCACTGCTACCCACCACATACGGTGACAAACGGAGACACACAGAGACACACGGAGACGTACGGAGACACACTGTGACACACGGAGACACACTGTGACACACAGAGACACAGGGAGACACACAGTAACACGGGGACACGCAGAGACACACAGAGACACACAGAGACACACAGAGACACACAGAGACACACAGGAACACACTGACACACACAGCGACACATTGTGACACACAGACACACGGAGACACAGAGACACACATAGACACACGGAGACACATGGATACGCACGGAGACACAAAAACATACAGACACACTTAGACACGGATATACACGGAGGCACACAGAGACACACGGAGAAACAAAGAGACACAGAGAGACACATATAGACAGACGGAGACACACAGAGACACACGGAGACACACGTAACGTGTACGTTTGATTACATTATTTTCCAGGTCAGTGTTACCCGAATGTCAAGATGACACAGGGAGACACACAGAGACTCACGGAGACACAGGGAGACACACAGAGACACAGGGAGACGACCAGATACACAGGGACACACGGACACACAGACAGACACACAGATACACACGGCGACACAGGGAGAAACAGGGAGACAAAGAAACACACGGAGTTTCACAAAAACAGAGACACACAGAGACACAGGGAGACACAGACAGACACACAGAAACACACAGAGACACACAGAGACACACGGAGATACACAGAGACACACGGATACACACGGAAACAAACAGAGACAAAGAGAGACACGGAAACACACAGAGACACACAGAGACACACGGAGACACACGTAGACACACGGAAACACACAGAGACACAAGGAGACACACGGAGACCCACAGAGACCCACTGAAACACACGGAGACACACGGAGACACACAGAGACACACGGAGACACACGGAAACACACAGAGACACACGGAGACACACGTAGACACACTTAACGTGTTCGTTTGATAACATTATTTTCCAGGTCAGTGTGACCCGTATGTCAGGTACACATTCACGGTATTATGACGCCATCTTTTAAACTCTGCTTCTCATCGTACAGGAAAGTGTATCGGCCATTTCTCGACACACCTTAAAATACGTCCTTCCTGTAAGGTTTCGGTGCTCACATACTAATATGTTAGCGTTGATCTGTCGTGACAGTAGCATGCTGTATGTAAAAGGCGCTGTGACGAAACTGTCATGAATACATTGAGCTGTGTGCTCTGAAAACATCAAATGTAATAGGACTATACATCCAGCTTACCGTCAACCCAGAACCTACACTTGTCACTGTCCCGTAGGGTCCCACTCAACATATTCTCCACAAACCAACAACCACACTCTCCAACAGGACATACTACAGCACGACAGAGTACTCCATTGACAGACAACCCGGATGAAAGGGCCGTGACTCTGTAGTTGTAGTCCTGTACACTGAGGTGTGCAGCGGTCTACCCGACTGTACACAATAAGTGTCAGAGCTATATTTGGACTGAACGAGGCGGTCGATCTCGGAATAACAGTCATCAGAGTGATCAGTAATAACATCTTGAATACAAATGATGCTTTAAGTTATTGTTTCTTATAGATACTATTGAAATACGTAGGGGATATTTTAAGGTGATATTGCTTTGTTTATTTGAGTGGCATTCTTGGGAACCAGGTTGATGGTACATGGATTTAGAAAACGATTAATCCATTCACAACGTTTATTGAAGTTTAAGCAAACAAGACACTTTCGTGCAAGCGTTTTTCATGGCGTTCTTATGAACTAGGTCGGGGTAAAATTCGAAGCGAAATATGTCAGTGAGGTGCTGTACACTTCAGATACCTAGAAAACAGACTGAGAGATGTTCTGATGTTGTTTTACTAAACTCTAGAAAACAGACTAAGAGATGTTCTGATGTTGTTTTACTAAACCCTAGAAAACAGACTAAGAGATGTTCTGAAGTTGTTTTACTAAACTCTAGAAAACAGACTGAGAGATGTTCTGATGTTGTTTTACTAAACTCTAGAAAACAGACTTAGAGATGTTCTGATGTTGTTTTACTAAACCCTAGAAAATAAACTAAGAGATGTTCTGATGTTGTTTTACTAAACTCTACAAAACAGACTGAGAGATGTTCTGATGTTGTTTTACTAAACTCTAGAAAACAGACTGAGAGATGTTCTGATGTTGTTTTACTAAACTCTAGAAAACAGACTAAGAGATGTTCTGATGTTGTTTTACTAAACTCTAGAAAACAGACTGAGAGATGTTCTGATGTTGTTTTACTAAACCCTAGAAAATAAACTAAGAGATGTTCTGATGTTGTTTTACTAAACCCTAGAAAACAGACTAAGAGATGTTATGATGTTGTTTTACTAAACCCTAGAAAAAAGACTGAGAGATGTTCTGATGTTGTTTTACTAAACTCTAGAAAACAGACTGGGAGATGTTCTGATGTCGTTTTACTAAACTCTAGAAAACAGACTGAGAGATGTTCTGATGTTGTTTTACTAAACACTAGAAAACAGACTGAGAGATGTTCTGATGTTGTTTTACTAAACTCTAGAAAACAGACAGAGAGATGTTCTGATGTCGTTTTACTAAACTCTAGAAAACAGACTGAGAGATGTTCTGATGTTGTTTTACTAAACTCTAGAAAACAGACTGAGAGATGTTCTGATGTTGTTTTACTAAACTCTAGAAAACAGACTGAGAGATGTTCTGATGTTGTTTTACTAAACTCTAGAAAATAAACTAAGAGATGTTCTGATGTTGTTTTACTAATCCCTAGAAAACAGACTGAGAGATGTTCTGATGTTGTTTTACTAAACTCTAGAAAACAGACTGAGAGATGTTCTGATGTCGTTTTACTAAACTCTAGAAAACAGACTGAGAGATGTTCTGATGTTGTTTTACTAAACACTAGAAAACAGACTGAGAGATGTTCTGATGTTGTTTTACTAAAATCTAGAAAACAGACTGAGGGATGTTCTGATGTCGTTTTACTAAACTCTAGAAAACAGACTGAGAGATGTTCTGATGTTGTTTTACTAAACTCTAGAAAACAGACTGAGAGATGTTCTGATGTTGTTTTACTAAACCCTAGAAAACAAACTAAGAGATGTTATGATGTTGTTTTACTAAACTCTAGAAAACAGACTGAGAGATGTTCTGATGTTGTTTTACTAAACCCTAGAAAACAGACTAAGAGATGTTATGATGTTGTTTTACTAAACCCTAGAAAATAAACTGAGAGATGTTCTGATGTCGTTTTACTAAACTCTAGAAAACAGACTGAGAGATGTTCTGATGTTGTTTTACTAAACTCTACAAAACAGACTGAGAGATGTTCTGATGTTGTTTTACTAAACCCTAGAAAACAGACTAAGAGATGTTATGATGTTGTTTTACTAAACCCTAGAAAATAAACTGAGAGATGTTCTGATGTCGTTTTACTAAACTCTAGAAAACAGACTGAGAGATGTTCTGATGTTGTTTTACTAAACTCTACAAAACAGACTGAGAGATGTTCTGATGTTGTTTTACTAAACCCTAGAAAACAGACTAAGAGATGTTCTGATGTTGTTTTACTAAACCCTAGAAAATAAACTGAGAAATGTTCTGATGTTGTTTTACTAAACTCTACAGAACAGACTGAGAGATGTTCTGATGTCGTTTTACTAAACTCTAGAAAACAGACTGAGAGATGTTCTGATGTTGTTTTACTAAACTCTAGAAAACAGACTGAGAGATGTTCTGATGTCGTTTTACTAAACTCTAGAAAACAGACTGAGAGATGTTCTGATGTTGTTTTACTAAACTCTAGAAAACAGACTGAGAGATGTTCTGATGTTGTTTTACTAAACTCTACAAAACAGACTGAGAGATGTTCTGATGTTCTTTTACTAAACTCTAGAAAACAGACTGAGAGATGTTCTGATGTTGTTTTACTAATCCCTAGAAAACAGACTGAGAGATGTTCTGATGTTGTTTTACTAAACTCTACAAAACAGACTGAGAGATGTTCTGATGTTGTTTTACTAAACTCTACAAAACAGACTGAGAGATGTTCTGATGTTCTTTTACTAAACTCTAGAAAACAGACTGAGAGATGTTCTGATGTTGTTTTACTAATCCCTAGAAAACAGACTGAGAGATGTTCTGATGTTCTTTTACTAAACTCTAGAAAACAGACTGAGAGATGTTCTGATGTTGTTTTACTAAACTCTACAAAACAGACTGAGAGATGTTCTGATGTTCTTTTACTAAACTCTAGAAAACAGACTGAGAGATGTTCTGATGTTGTTTTACTAATCCCTAGAAAACAGAGAGATGTTCTGATGTTGTTTTACTAATCCCTAGAAAACAGACTAAGAGATGTTCTGATGTTGTTTTACTAAACTCTACAAAACAGACTCGGAGATGTTCTGATGTCGTTTTACTAAACTCTAGAAAACAGACTGAGAGATGTTCTGATGTTGTTTTACTAAACACTAGAAAACAGACTGAGAGATGTTCTGATGTTGTTTTACTAAACTCTAGAAAACAGACTGAGAGATGTTCTGATGTCGTTTTACTAAACTCTAGAAAACAGACAGAGATGTTCTGATGTTCTTTTACTAAACACTAGAAAACAGACTGAGAGATGTTCTGATGTTGTTTTACTAAACTCTAGAAAACAGACTGAGAGATGTTCTGATGCTGTTTTACTAAACTCAATGAAACGTTTTCTTCGGTAATTGTTTGTTTTTTCCTTTTTTTTGTGGTTGTTTTTCTTTTTTGTGGCTTTTTATTCGTTGTTATTATTTTTCACATGCGGCATGGTGGAATTAGAATAACACTGTGGCTCGAGCTGTTACCGTTTCCGGTTTGGTCGACTAAGGCCGACAACTGGCGCACATCAGAAAAAACTGTTACCGTGGTCAAAGTGCCTCTCAAGATGACTTTCACAGCTGCTACAGGTGGTAGAGTGAGTGAGTACGTTAACATTTTAGTCACAAAGGCAGTATTTCTGCCAATTATGGTTAAAACAATTGTGGTTTAACTCGTCAGGCCATGCATGTCAATAATGACAAAGTGTTGGGGGAAAGGTCAGTTTATTTCTGACAACATAAAAATATATATTAAATTCCTCCAAATCCCCCAACACTCATTCACTCAAACACTTTATGTTGACGCTACGACCATGGCTTTTGCGAAATTATGATACGCCTCGCTTTTGATAGTTACATATCTCTCAAATGCATTTGACTTCCAGTCACCGTGAAGTTTTATTATCAAGGGCGAAACCCTTAGACTGAAAGCAAAAGAGCACCCCGCTCGCCTGAAGGAGTGTTCAAAGTAGTCTGCTGGTCGGTATCCACATGCGCACAAGACACTTTTTAGAGCTTTTACAAAGGTTGAGTAAGTGAGACAGTTGATTTTGTCCGCCTCACAGAATGCAAACAGATGATAGTCACGTGATAATCCCTGTTGGAGCTGACCCAGGCGTGTCAGGGCTGACACAGGGCAGAGTGGAGACCCCTGTAACGCAGATAACGGCACCCCCAGGACCCTCTGGCCGAACTGTTTGGTCTGAGTGTGTCTGACAATCAGCCCCACATAGTTGTCATCACTTATACAGTATAATCTGGCTCTTCAGGTAGCAATGTTGATTTCTTAAAGAACGTAAAGAAGGCGGTGAGACAAGCTGCCCAGAAAGCAATGTTGAAGTGGCGACTCATTTCAAGTTTTTGATATATTTGTCCTAAAATCTCTGGTGTTATCGATATGTTTTTGAACCGGTGGTTTTCCTTTAAGCCTGAGGATACCCTTCCAACTAATCCGAGTGTCCAGTCCGTGAGTGGGTTGTCGAGTCCCGCCTCCAGGTGGAGCAATCGCACCATGTTGAGATATCCCTGGGTACTACTGGGGCTGAGTGACCGCGCCAAGAAGGCACAGTACCGTAGGAGTGTAGTTCCGCTCGCTGGCACCGGAGTTAGGGCAAAGTACAGACGGAAACGAAAGTACGTCTTGGCCATAGACGTATATGTTTTCTAGTGGAGTTGGCGTACGCAGTAGTATATACAATAGCGGTATGGGATCAAGTCCAACAAAAGCCTCTGCAAAGCCATATTTCACAAATAAAGCTTTTGTCAGGCCCTTTGATCTCACCACCATTGTATCTACTACTTTTGAGCCCCCGTTAATTTCCCGCCCACATGTGGCACTGCTGTGCCACTATGACTGCGAACTAGCACGTGCCGCTATGTCACGTTGACCTCGATGAAACAGTTTAATGTGAATCGCCCATGATCTCTTTGGTGTTTGTAATAAAGGCTTGCTGGGCTTTTCGTACTCCCTCTTCTATGTACTTTTTTTTCTCGTCCTCGCTGATAGCAGACTTACGAGACTTGGATCGAATCTCTTGTTTCATTTTGTTATATTTTGTGAGTTCAGAGAGGATTGAACGAAACT